TATTCCCCCAAACAGAATATCGAGCCCTGAAAACACTTCTAAGGATCAAAACCGTCCAAAGGTGCCTCTTATACTTGCCATTCTTTCATCATTTTCTTACTCACTCATTTCTTATTCTTCTTCATCGTCAAAGCTCATTTTTGGCTAAGTATTGACACTTAATTAAGATAAGAAAATAAAGAATAAATTTAATGCTGATTTTCTCTTGTCTATTACTTTCTACTCAATTCATATTTATCTCAAAGGCTTGGAAATCACAACAATGAAATTATTTCTTTTTCTTATTCCTTAAACAATGTCTGAGTTGTTATCTGTCGTCAATGGAAAGCAGATTAACAAAATAATGTTATTTAAGGAAGCTTCAATTGAATGCAATAATAATCCATAATTTACATCGAAACTGGTGGTTAACTGTGGAGTTGGGGGAGGGGGTCTAGGATTTTGTGACAGTTCAAACAATAGAATTTTTTTCTATAGAAATTTTGTGACAGAGGGGGGGAGGGGGGTCTAAAATTCAGGTTTTTTGATGGACGTCATAAGTGAACGATTCCTTAAGTGGAAAAATTCTTGAGTTTATTCTGTAGGATTGAAACCTATAACATACATAAAAATATGTGCTATAATAACTTTGTTGCATTTCATAGCTGCAAAATTTGTGCTTAGTTCCAATTTAAACGTAAAAACCATAAACTTTTCTTTTGTGAAATTTTGAAAACTCAATCTTAAAAAATTTCCGAAATTCTTATTTTCCACTTCCATTCTACCATCACCAAGTGACTTAACATCCTCAACAAGACCATAAAAAATTGCCATTTTTTGAGTAAGAAAAATTCTTTAATTTTTCATCATCAAGAGTAATAAAAACTTAAATCTACGTGATGTTACTGCATAAAATCTCTTTTTATTTTTCAAATATTTGCTCATTAATCCAATCAGCCCTTTCATTTCCTATTCTCGACTCCGTTCTCTCATTATCATCATCCGTTTCATTTCACACGATTTGGGAATTGAAATTCTTCTGCTGCTTATTATCATCCATTCATTGACAATATTATGACAATATTAACGGCTGTGGATGGAGAATGTGGATGAAAAAGAGAAGGTGCTTTCCGAAACTGCCCTCTTGAGACTTTAATTTCTTGATTTTTTCTTTTAAAATACTATAAAATACCTCATAATGTTTACTTCATAAGAAAAAGTTTTTATCAACCCTTTTCATTCACATTATCACGTCTTTTTATGCTTCTCGTTCACACACACACACAATGTCGTGAGTTATAAAATATTATGGATTTTGTAATATAAATTATGAATTTTTACATCCCTATCTATACTCCTTTCAATACTCTCTATTCTTTTGCTTTGACTTTAACTCCCACAACGCATCGTATCGCGTTTAACTTCCTTGGATTGTAAGGAATTTCTCACTCTTCATCAACAATATCGTCTTAATACATAACACATAACACTAAAAACCGAAAACAAAACAAAACATTCATTAAAATATGTTGATAATACTTCTTCAAAAGGGGTGGGAACTTAGTTGAGATTCTGATGAATCATAGCGATGGATCAGCGCTCTGGAGAGTTTACTGAGGTTTTGGTAGTTCACTAAAGTCGATCCTTCTTAGGAATAGAACTTAATTTATGTGCTACCTTGCACTTTAGTAGTTCTTTTGAAGTCACTAGCTTCAAATATTTGACATTCGTAGGATTCGAAACCATATCTTTGAAGATATTATTCATTAAAGTTAACAAATGTCAGCTTTGATTTTAGGAGGATTTGAACGCAAACATCAACCTTCCAGTACAAAATTCTAAGATCACAAAGCACTTAACCTCTACACCACTGAGTCACTTGAGCTCTTAAAATTGACTTAAGCATAAACGTGTCTTAACTTAATATTCAAGTTTGTCCATCCCTAGAAAAATATCCTCCTCTTTCTTCATCATCCCCACCCCACCTCAAATTATCATCCTTATAACTTTTCCCGAGACTTTTTCATTGCCATCAACACCATGCCATGTAGATTATGTGTAAGAATATTCATAAGAAATAATATAAATTCAGCAGAGATTGTATTGTATGACTCTCTGTTGTTCATGGTGTTCAATATTGTTGGGTATTGTGTGTATGGTAAAGATTTTTTGTTCTGGTTGGTTTTTAAGTTTTTCATTGAAGAAGTTTTGTTGGATGAAAATGTTGAGGGATGGATGACGCTGGTTTGGCTTGATTGCTGGGTTAGGTGAAGTTTTTTTTTAAGGTTTTGGGTAAGTATGAATGTCACTTGAGGTGATTTTTGATACATTAGGCTAGTATTGTTCATGGAAATTCCCAAAAAACTGTAAAATGCGCATAATTATTTCTAATGCTCCCCAAATATGCGCTTCCACATCCACCCCACCAATCCTCAAAATACTCTAATAAAGTCTTCGTTCAGTTGACTCTAGTCATTACTTTCCACCATTCCGTTTTCATTCCATTCACATCTTATTCCCCGTTTTTTTTTATAGCGAATTTATATCCATCTTTATACTTTTTCTGTTATTCTTGTTATTATTACGATTACAATACACTCATATAAGTCAGAAGAGAATAAACCAGCAGCATGTAATTCAAAAATAAAAAAAAAGAAACTTTCATAAACAACAGCAAGAAAAAATAGGAGAAGGAATATATCTACAGGAATGAATACACATCCATATTGCCATCATGTCTTATGTGAATTATAATTTTGAATGTAATAAAAAATGCACAGAAAACAGAACAGATAGGAGAAATCTAATTTGTGTTACAAACATGAACATCAAAGTTTTTTTTTGCTGCTTCTTTTATTCAGTTCTTTCTGGATTCTGCTTCGATATGTGAGCGGATTATGTAAGGATGTTAATTATGTAAGTGTGAATATTTTTGCTGATTTTGGTTCGATATTTGTGGATGAAACTTGGAATCTAAAGGTTTGGGATTGCTTGACATGATTTTTACATCTTCCTAGCCCCAACACTACTTCAAACAGAACAATAACTGCTATTTAAAATCCAAAATATTATTATTAATCAACATAAACCTTCCAGCTTCAAGCATGCTTCAAAAAATATCATTATTAAATTTTTATCATCCAATTAAATAATTTTAAGCACATCTCGAAAAATTTTCCATCTCCTCAATAACATTATCAGATAACGATAATCATCCGCATCATAGCTAGTATAAAATTAAATATCCTTTTGTTCTATAATCAAGTCGATCACAATACCTTTACCCATTTTAATGACTATCTATTCATTAGACAATAGTTTATATCCCTAACAATTTTTAATAGATCCAACTCTTATCGACGTCATTCAATCTTATATACGACGGTTCACAAGAACGTATTAAAACCAAATAATTAGTAAAAAAGGAGGAGAGTATTAGACCTCCCCACACCCTTCCTATACTAGCTGTTCCTTGTTGCTGTGTAAAAATTATCTTTCAATATTTTATGGAAAAAGGTTTTTATGGAAAGGAAACGTTCATAAATGTGAAGAAATTTTCAATTAAAATTTAATCATATGTGAATTTTATGGATGTAGCATAAATTTCTACTCTCTTAAAAGTCAAGAAGTTTTACATTTATGATAGAAAAGATGATGATAGTTGGATGGGAGGAGGATGGAGGTGCTATAAAGAGAGTATTTTTGAGTGTTGATATAAGAGTGCGAAAATGTGGTTCCTGAATGTATATATTTCGGGGTTATTGATTTAGGAAATTGTCTTGAAGAAATTTTCAAACACTTCTCCATCCATTTTTACTTCCGTTTTTTGTGTAGCAGCTATTATATGGGGTAGTTTGAGAAACAGTTTGTATTGAGAAGTAAGGAATGGATTATTGAGTTTTGAAGGAATTTTGGTACTGAATGTTGACCAAATGCATGTTATTGAATGATTTTTATATGCCTTGATGTGTTTGATTAGCTACTAGAACCAGATTTATCAATATGCATCAAAACACACATCAAATACAAAGATGTAGTCACCAACAGATCCATTAGCACTTTGAATAATCTCTTTTGTGAAATACATTTGACTAAGCTTCGTTGGAACTTGATAAAGCTGCCATTTAAGTCCTTTGACTAATTAGAAGCTATTAATTGTATTGACCAGACGACACCACATCGCTATCCTGTTTCCTCAAAGATCAATTTGCGCACACAAAACTTTTATAGCTCTTAAAAACTAACAAGTTACCTTCAATCTTCTCTTTTTCTTTTATTTTAAGCTTTCCACTTTTTGGATATTCACCTAATTTAAAATTTATTGGAATCACGTGAAGCCATAAAATAATATTTCTGTTCATCTTGAAGAATCGTCGCCACATTGTTCGAAAGTGTTCGTTCATTCAAGAAGATAATCTTAGCTGTCATTTGGTAGTCAATGACTTGACTTTGTGAAAATTGGAGATGTTTAAAATTTTAATGACTAGTTTAAGGACTGAATAGTTTACAGAAATCTATCTTTTTCATGATTTGGAAATTCTCTGTCCAAACTAAACCTAAATATCAAAATTTATGCGAATACATTCACATATAGATGTGCTTTAATTTTCAAAAGGAACCGTGCACTAGAAAAAAAAAATCATAAACTTGACGAATGATCTCCATTATCCATACGTGGAGAAAACCGCATAAATTTACATCTTGAAATTTTAACATTTCTTTCCTGTATTGTTCCTTTTTTGCTTCTGTGTATATTCTATAGCTATTATGGAGATTTTGGAGAATATATAGCAAGTAAGTTGTGGAATAATGGGAAAAAGTCGTGATATGATTTTCCATTAATTCAATAATTTTCATTTCCGCATGTGTGAAAATTGTCCTGGATTTTTGAGGGCCTGGAACATTGGAACTAAAGCTACAAAGTATTTAGTAATTTCAACAGAGAAAAATTTTATTGGTTGACCCCAAAAAGTGCTGGATTATCAAAAATCATCAAACTATAGAAGACTAGGCTTGCTGCCTTAAAACCTCCTATCATTTCCTGCTTCAATACCCACAGGCTTTCCAAATCGAAACTTCCTGTCAGTTGTATTTTTCAGTTCCTCAAAAGATTCTTTTAATCCATTGGACATGAAGTAAGGTCTTGATATTCCATCATTTTCTTCACAATCTTCACAATAGCAGACAAAAATTGTGTCAATTGTCATCTCAAAAACGCTAATAAAGCAATTGGCAATGAAGTAGGCAAAGATTATAGCCAGGATCATAGGAAATATTATGTTAACTCCGGATTCAGACTGGAAAAAAATTGGAATTAAATTTTAATCATTTGTTGGGTTGTCAGACTCACCATCAAGGCATATCCACATAATCCTGCAATAAGAACTACAAACAGTCTTCCCATGAACAGCACCAAATCCCCAAAATTATTCAATGCAAGAACATTCTTTAAATTCCTGAAAATTAAGTTAAAGGCTCGCTTTCCAGACTCAAAAAATGGAGTTCCATCTTTAGCCATGATGATGTAAGCATTACGCATGAGATATTGCAAGAATTGATCAAGTTTCTCAATGAGACAGCTGCAAAGACATCCTAAACACTGTGCTGTAAAGCTTGTTGAGTTGCTGGTTTGTTGCTAGAATAGGAAGTCCATTTAATCTAGAATTTGGAATTCTGATGCAGTTAATGATTACTCTTGATCAGCTTACCTTAATTCCATCAACAATAAGCTTCAAAATCTTCATCAAAAGTAACAAGATTGATCCTAAGCAGATACTTCCCAAATGGAATCTTACAAGATGTAAAAATGTCTTCTGTATCGGTGAGTCAACCTTTGACTTATCTCTGGAAAAGTACCTGCTCAAAAAAATTCATAACTATTAATAAATTCTATACTGTCCATCAATAATTCCATTACCATTTAACGACAGTTCCAGCGATCAAAAAATTCTGACATCCGAAAATGAATTGTGTGAACCAAATAAAGGCTAGGATATTGAAGATCCTAGACATGTAAGCAGCAAAATTTGGATCATATTTAGCTTGAAATTCTCCATCAAGTGCTGTGTCAGCTTCAAGTGTTCCAGTCGTTTCGGTGACGATAGCAAAATACACAAACAGAAAGAATGCAACAGCAAGTGCTAGAAATGTAATAACTGGTTCAAAAAGTAGTGCCGGGATATCGATTATTGCTTTTGATGCTTCTTTAAAGATTTGAGCAACCAACTTTATTCTCCGACGGTTTAAAATCAGCAAAAGAACGAAAAGAACCACACCGATTGTAAAAAGTATAGCTATGATCAACATTCCTTTCTTATCCTTATCTTTTGCTGTTACATACGCGTACCAACAGAAACCAGCAGCACATGCAAACATCCCAACAAATAAAATATAAATAATCCATATGACATACTCAATAAAATATCGGAACAGAATCAACACAATGTATGAAAATACAAAAGATATGCCACAAACTGCAACTAAGTACGGCCAAGTAATGATTAGCTGCTGTGACAGTTTTTGAAAGATTGAAAAATTATCCGAAGCTTCAGTTGAATTTGCGTTTTTCATCCAGCATCGATTGAAGACCTCAACGTAGCCTTGCTGACAATTTTCGACACATGAATAATGCATGACGGTAAGGTTTCCTTTTTGTTTGACGTTAACTTCAACTTTTGGAAGGTTTCTTTTGTCATGTGACTAAAAAAAAGATATATAATAGATGGACTTGACTGCAGAAAGGAGTCACAAGGTTTCGTTGGGAAATTTAAGATTAAAGTTGCAATTTAGTCTAATCATGTCAAAAATAAGAGTTTTTGGGGTAGTCAGCTAATTTAACTCTTAGGTCCACACTACAAAATAAGCACACTTACCCCACATGTGTGGAAAAAGTTATTTTCATTATTTTCACCACAGACATTTCCGCAGTCATCATATCCTTTTGTTAGTCGTTTCAAATCGGACTGTGATATGCAATAGCCAATGGTTATAAGCTGAAAATTCAGATAATAATGTTTGAAATTCTGAGAATAATCAAATTTAAGCATCAAAAATAAGAACAGCGTTCAAAAAAGTTCAGCGTTTCTTGTTATGTCTGCAAATACCACAACAAAAATGTGTCTGGATATTAACCTTGATGACCTAGATGTTGAACTTTAAATGACGAAATTGCATGCAGATAATTAGTGTTCATTTAATGAGCAACTTACCATTATTAGAACAAATACGATGCAGAAATAAAGTGATGACACATTTGTAGGTTGTCGTTCAGTATTATCAGCCTGTACTGCCCACTGGATATTATTATAAATATTTAAGTCATTTGAAAAAATAACAAAGTTATTAAAAGCAAAAACAACCTATTTTTTAAACCAAATATTTTTTTTGAAAATTGACATAAACCTACCATTTTAAAGTTGGTCTAAAAGTCACATTAGAATAATTTTGAACAAACTTGCACTTCACACCAGTAACTCTATACTGTTTGTAATTTATTAAAGCCACAATGTGGACGTTGCATGCAATTTCATTTGAAATTAAAAGTTTTTTTTTATCGATTGAATATGAACTTTCATAAATGTTGAATAATTGATGTAATGACAGGACAGTAAGTTGAGCTTTAACTTAGTCTATTTTTAATTTTATTTATCAGTTTTTGTGCTTTTTAAACGAATAATTTACAAATCAGAACACATTAAATCTGATTTTAATTAAGTTGATTGGATCAGGGATTTTTAATGTCTTTTTCTTCGAACTTTGGATTATTGACCAATGGATGGATATTTTATGATTTCGAAAGACATTAAAAGTTGCTCCCAAAATACCAAATCTAATCATTAATCTGTTTAAAGATCCTTAGAACTAGGACTTATTAGAATTATTTACAATCTTTAACTTAAAATTCATTCACAAATTGTTTCGATCATTTGAACCAAATCTTACATTTGATGACACTTTAGACTAAAGTTAAACATCAAATTTCAAATGAACTTACTAAAACTTACAAACCTACAAACTTACAAACTTACAAAAACTTGCAAAAACTTACAAACTTACAATCTTAAAAATCTTATTTTAAAAAGTCAAATCAAAGCTATTGCTAAAATCCTAATCAGCAAGAAGATGAGTCAGAATCATCAGGATGAACATTCACAGTCAAAAGTGTAGGAGGAGGAACATAATATGGACAATATGTACCAGTTGCAAAATGTCCAGTCAAGTCGTAATCGCTAGGATACGGCAATACTATTAAATTATTGTTGAATAAATCATCTGGGAATGAAAATAGTAATTTATTTTAATGGATTTACACAAACTGCTGATTCAAGGCATGGACTCTTTACGATTTAGGCTGAATATTAATTTTTTAAGTTTCACAGGATTATAGCTAAGATTGTAAGATTAGCTAAAATTGTAAGATTCAATGGATATAGATGAACAATATCAAAACAACATAGTGTCCATGCCTTGTCATTGACAATTTAAATTCACACTAAATCAAAAAACTTACCTTGAACTTTAGATTGAGTATTATTGTCATATTGAATGTCATAATATTTTATTAGATCACAGAGAATATTTGTTAATGATTTGGACATGGAACACCACTGAGATGTTTCAAAGTTCAAAAAGAAACAGAATATTGTTGTTTCTATCATTGCATTGAAGGCACTGATGAAGCAGTATGAAGTTGACAGTGTCATTACTATTGAGATTCCTAAATAGTATCGGACATTTAAAAAAGCTTCATCCTAAACACAAGAAATGAGAATATTCTTGATGAATCACGTTTTCTAAAACTTAATAGAAATTGTACATCGTAAAATGAAGCAAATCTTACCATAATCATAAATGCAAGTCCAACAGAGAAGACAACAATCATCAATTGAATGAACAACAGAATATAAGTACCAAATTTGGATAGTTTGAAGATTTTTTCAAACTTTTGAACGACATTGAATGCTTTTTTGGATGATTTTGAGTATTTACTTGCATCTTTTACGATAATGATGTGGGCTAGAGTGTCCGATAGACATAGATGATCAAATTCTTGTTTACGACTTCCGCAAAATTTCAAAATTATCTGTTGAAACAAGATAAAGATTCAGATGATAAATATTCTTAAAGGCTGCAGTATGTCAAGGACATACAAATGATATATAAAGCCAGCTTAAAGCGTCATTTAAGGAAGGCTGTGAATCACAATTGATACGTAAATAAATAAGTTAGTAAATCATCAAGAAACCCATTCAAAATACGTCAATAAATTTTCCATTCAGCACAAAAACGCGCGCGAAAACAAAAATAACTATAGCCAATAAATGAGCTTGTTCACTTAATATTCAGTAACCTTTGAAATTTCTAAAACTATCAGCAAAATTTCTATCAATTTTAACAATAGAATCCACGATACTCACCTTTGCAACCGGTTTAAATATTGTAATGAATCGTCCATAACAGACACTCCCCAAATGGAAATGAATTAGATGAGAGAAAGTTGACCAAAACAAGCATTTTGTGTTTGATTTATCTTGTTCTTGATGAAATTTGGTCACAATTCCTGCAATCATGAAATTTTGACATCCAATGATGAAGATAATGAACCAGACATAAAGTATCAAGCTCAATAATTGTGGGTAAGTGATTTTGTCATTTTCTGATGCAAAAAGTAAATTTATAATGAAATATGAAGCTAGAACAGCTATAAAACATGTCAGAATCGGTTGAAAGATAATTGACTTAATTTTGACAGACTGCTTTGATATTTCCTCGAACAAATATCCAACAAGTCTCAGCTCGCTTCTATAAAAAGTCAAACAACTAGCTCCAAGTATAAAAAGCATTGTTGGAATCATTTTGATGCTGCAAACTTCTACTGTCGTCAATTCCCACACATTTTGAATCAACAAGTGCGGTTCCATCCAAACAACAATCGTGACGACAGATATAATAAACATCGATCCAATACAGGTCCCCCAAATAATCCATTTAATAAAACATCGAGACAGAAGTAGAAGAAGAAATGACATAAGTATTGCATAAAGGCAAGTCTGTTCAATCTGTTTTCGAGTTTTTGATAAATCACTTCCGATAGTTGTTAATTCATTGCATCTTCTTGATAGGTATTCTGAATTTAGAGTTGTGAAGCTTTGGATGATCAGAAGGAGCTGAAAAGTTTAAAGTTTGTTTATAGATTAATACTAATATAAGTTGAACTTTAAGTAGCTTTGCTTAAAACATCTTTTATCATTAATTAACAAGCTTTCCCTAGCAGAAATTTACTAGTAATTTTCTAGTAATTTACTGGATAACTTTCCATTTGCTACTTGCTATTTACTAGTCAAAATCAAAGTTTAAATCATTGCCAAAGACCCGCATTTTTACTTGCTAATTGACTAGTCAATTCGTTTACAATTTAACTAGTAATTTACTAGCAAATTTTTAAAAAAATTAAATGAATATAACCGTTGATTTCCACGTGTTTTTTGATTTTTCTTATTTGTGTAAATTATTGCAAAAGTATTAGTGTGTACTTATTTAAAGTTAATCATAGTACACTAACACTATGAAAAAATAAATAAAAGACTTAATGAGCTCGGTCGAATGAAAAGTTCCATTGAATTTCAACGGTTTTTTAAAATTCAATTTTTGTTACTTTCCCCTTGAATTAAATCAAAAATTACTTTGCAAAATATCATTTAAATTAATATCAATGTTTTCTTTTGAGCATTGTAATGCATCCAATAAATTTTTCTTGATCTGTTCCTAATTTTTCAGCTTCCAAATATGTGTAATTAATGATTTTCAAACGATTTTTTTAATTCGCATATTTTTTTGTGATGTAAACAAACGAATGGAATATATCAAATTTTGACCGTTATGAAAAAAGTTTTTCAGAAAAATCATTAATTTAACTAATTTAAACAATCTTTTTGAAGATTTTAATAGCAAAGGTATATAAAGAATTGAAAATCAAACAATTGATTATGATTTTTGTATCTTGTAATGAAGTTTTCGCAAAGTTATTAGTATTTTTTGTGAAAATTCAAAATAATGGAACTTTTTTTCAGTGTCAGAAATCGGTTGTTTTCTCTGCTTTTTGACTTAATTAAAGTCCCTTATGTTATGAAATTCATGTCAAATAACGCGTTTTTGAAAACTCTATGATACTTACTGATTATTTCCAAATATAAATTTCCAGGAAATAAGAAAAAAGTGAAAACTTCTCGATTTCTGACACTTATTCAACAAACGACCAAGCCCTAATTTAATTAAGTCGAATACTGGTGAACGCCTATGACTCGCACGCAAACCTGAGGAAGATAAATAATTAATTGAAAGTCACATACAAATTTGGATCGAGGTTATAAAGGTGATTTCTGTGCGCTCTTGTGAAGTATATGGCAAATGCCAAATTTAGAACAAAATTTTTTATGACGCAAAAAATTCTTTTTTTGATGATTCTTCGTAAGATTCGAACTTAAGCAGATTTGATCAAACATTTTACATGGTAAATTGCTAGTAATTTGCTATTAAATTGTAAATGTAATTTACTAACAGTCAGTTGTTTTAATAATTACTAGTAAATTGCAAGTAGTAAAATAGAAAGACTAGCAATTTGCTAGTTAGTCTCGCTAGGGTTTAGAATCCTTAATTGCCTTCCGAATGCTTTTCTTTTGAGACTTCTTCGTCCATAATAACTCTATATGCAGCAATACATGTTTTACAACTTAATCAAGATGCTGCAATATGCTTATAGCTTTAAAAATTTATAGTCTCATTAAGTTGTATCACTAACAGCTGTTATTTTAATTGTCAAAGCATTCAGAAGATTAAAAATTCTTGGAAATCCCAAAAATTTTCAGAAAGTATAATCTTGCACGCGTTTGGATATACCACAGAAATACACATTTTGTTGAAATTCTTTCATAACTGACACACTTGTTGACGATCCAGTTGTGCGTTTCATGTCGAAATCTTAAAATATATCACAATGTGTGCTTACCATTATAACAATTAATCCAATTGTAAGGTACAATGTTGTCAAATCTGTGCATTTTCTTTTATTTTGCTGATTTTCTAATTGAAACTTTAAAAATAGATTTTAATCTAGTTAAACTTTAAACTTGATTCATTAGCCTCACATTTATGGTGGGTTCCATCTTGACAGATATATTATTAAGCACCTTACTTTAATATAAGTCTCACATTAAAATTATTTTCAAAACTTAATAATTTTTTAGAATATTTCTCGATCTTACTTCTTTGAAATTTGAAACTGAAATGATCCCGAAAATGCTTAAGGTAAAAATATACCAGTTTTATTCTGATTTTACGAGTCAAGATTTGCATTTGTATTCTGAAAATTTTCGCTAACACGTTAATGCATCAATAATGCTAAGCAGATGGATTTTCGCCGTGTTTCACGTCACTTTTTTAATTGCAAATTATTTTTTGATTAAATTGCTTTTTTAGGAAATTCCTAATGCATGATGTTTTTCAACTTTCCAGTTTTTTTTTTAAATTTTTAATAGAACAAGATTTTTGGGAATCTAAGCATCTTTTAGTTTCTTACAAGTGCCTGAGATAATGATTGTGACTTGGTAGACATGTTAAAATGGGTATGGACTGAACAACTGTAGTGTTGTGATTAATATGTCACTTTATGGTATAGCTAGTAATGTAGAAGAGTACCAACATCAAAAACTATACAAAAAATCAAGTCACAGGACTCTTGGAGCTAGTTTCTCAGTATAAATTAACCTATACCTACTCTGGATGATTTGCAGTAACTGGATAAAGTATGTATCAAGAACATTGAATCGAACAACTGCCTATAAACTTCAAAACCTCAACCAACACAAAATTAATGTCAATAAATTTCCTGCCTTCAAAATCAGACACTTTCCAAACACAGAAAAAAACTTCATGTGATTATAAAAATTTACAATATCAACATACATAACATTGCATGTGTCTATCACATTGTTACCTCAAAATTGGATAGTCGAAATCGATACCCACTCCAAAAGATTGAACAAAAAAGGCGTTGAACATGGCTTGTCAACATAACAAAAATGCTCTCTCTTCTCACACATGTAATGGCCCTTTCATGTCCAAAAACTCACTCCAAACTGATACCACTTGCTTTTTGGATTATTATGAATGCAAACATTGGAAAATAAATGACTTGATAGGATTGAAGTTGAGGGGTTGGAATAAAAACCAGAAAGGTTGAATGTATTGACCATAATCTATTCAGAATGGTCAATTACACTTGCTCCTCATGTATCAAAATAGATTTAAGCCGATTTAAGTTTTTGAAATTGATTCCTCAAATCGACCCCCATCATCATTTTTAACGACAAGGGCAGCCTGATATTCATACTGCAGTATCAGCATGGGAAGTTTGTTTTGAGATTTTGTGGAATATTGAAGAGTTTTGTTCTGTTTATGTCAGAATAAAGCGATTATAAAAGTTTTGAGGAGAGGATGTTTTGAATGGTAGTAAGACAATGTTTGTTGAGCTATTGAGGATTAATACGTTGATAATCAAATTGTTGACTTTTGAAATGTTTAAAATACATTTTTGGGATATTGAGGATCATAATATGATATTTGTATAGAATTATAGTTTTAACTAGTAACTTACTTATAAAATTCATACATTTTGTTGATGTAAAAATAATAATTTCTATAATTGGACTTAAAAAAAATTAAAAGTTCCTTATTTGACAATTCTGATTGCTTTGGGCAAAAAATTTTCTTACAAAAACAAACTGTTTACATATCAGTGCGATATTTACGGGAATCGAAACCATGACACCTTATCAAGATTGAATTATAGAATTTGTTCTTTCATGTAACCATTCAACCAAACAGTTCTTTTCTCTTGAATTGCCATTTTTGCCTAATTTCTATAAAGATTATTCAATGTTACTAATGAACATCTTGTTGAACTAGCTAGACTTAAATTAAATTCAAAAATATCCACAACCTAATCAACCATTCAAATTTCCACTAAAAACAATTTCATAATTAATCATTACTTGAGCTTACCACCCGAAAAACACATCCTCATCATCAGCAATATAAAAAACAATCCATAGCTATAATTGTACATCTCTTTAATCACAATAGCTCCATACCCATATGATTGTACAGCTGTCAAATAACAGCAAAGACAAAGAACTAAAAGAAAAAGGCATTCGACATATCAAACTGGAATTAACTGAAGTTATGCGGATTTGTATCTTCCATTCGTAGATAAATTCATCCATATGTGAATTTTGTATGTCTGTGTAGATGTGTGTATGTGCGGTAAACGTTAGGTGAATGAAAAATCCTTTGATTAATTAATTTTCGTATGTTTTTTCGGGGGGAGTTGAGGATGTGAAAACCTTAAAAAATGACACATACGTTAGTTTAGTTTCTGGCCATCTTTTTCTCATCCCCTCATCATTGGCCTCAGTACACTCATCTGTTTCTCACATATCATCCAAAACTAAATAAAATTACGGTTCGTTCGGTTTTTCGTGTTGGGAAAAATCATTAAGCATAAGCATAGATAGCAAAAATTTGCTGAAGAAAATTTGTGTGGGAAATTTTATCCTCTGAGTGGGTGGAATCATCGTCTAATATATATTTTGTAGATATAAAGTTCATGTCCAATTTTTGTGTTCATTTGCCTTTTGCCAAAAAATTATTTATATATCTACATGTATTTGGTGTCTAAAGAGCGGTACTCATCGTTTAGATGCTACAGAAATAGATTGTTATAGGAAGTGAGAATCTATTTGTAATTGTGATGATTTTGTCAGAATTTGATAGGAATCGAACTACTTTTTTGAAAAAAGATTAAAGTTGAGCATTTGTAAGGCATAAATTAAAATATATTGATCGTGAAATTAAAACACTGAAAATTTGCAAAATCAGCAAGTTCTAATCTTTACTTTTCATAATGATGTAGACACACAAAATGTGGCATGAATAAAAATTTCCTAATACACCAAGATCATCATCATCATGTGTATTTAATTTTATTGCTAAACTCAAAGCATGATTATTTCTTTTCAGATCTATGCCCACATGTTTCAGAGAATCCTCAAAAAATAGATAGAGACATTTTGCATTGGAAATTCGGTACGAAAGAAAATTTATTGTGGATAAATTTATTTTTTGTGTTTATTTTTCACTTCTAATTTATTCTTTTTAAGGGGCATAAAAAACTATTATTTTTATTTTTGAAAAAAAAAGAAAAACTTTGGAAAATTGCAAATAGACTTCTGGGTGAAAAATTTTCATTCCTTTTCTCTGTTTTTGTTCTGTGATGTGGACACAAACAAATGAAATTTTCTTTATTTTGAATAAATAATACAAGTTGGGGAAGCTTTTGGGGTTAAAGAGGGGATTAGGCGATTTTTTAATGCGAATGTTAAATTAATTTTTGAACCCCCTTAGGACTGGGGGGGGGGGGGGGGGGGGGTAATGTGTAAAATATGAAAAATGTTGAAATCTAGTCGATTAAGGTTAGCACATTTAGAGTTTAATTCTTGAATTATTAATGAGCGAGTTAAGCCAATCAGTCTAAAGTGTAAAAAAAGATTTGGATTTAAACTTCCAACTGTTAAAAGGTTCGAATCCTTTAGTATTATAAATATTGCTTTTATTGGTAATGTATCATTTTTCTTTTGGTCTTACTTACTTACTTCGCTACCTCCTTTGGTCGTCCCCTAAAACTAGCTTTATTGCTTGCTACCGTTTAAAAATTGCCGATTCCAAGTACAACACTTTTGCTCATTATTTGAAAATCATCTTAATGTCATGGACAAATCACCAACAATTGTAACTCTTTTAATAAAAATCCGATCACCTTAAAAAATCTAAATTGAATAAAGCATATGAGAAATTTTCAATTTTTTTTTTGCATAGAGGTGACGATGCCAGAAGTTATTTAAACTTCTCCTCTATTTTTCATCTTTATTTGTTGAGAAAACTATTCATTTTTCATGGCATTTTATTTAATTCGAAAGTCATTTTATTGCCAGATTCTATATTTGTTTGATTATGAATTATTTTGCCATAAAAATATTTGTTCTGTGACAGAAATGAGGAGAAAAATATCTCAGACTTGCTTTTTTTATATAAAAGCAAAAAAACTAATCCAATGAATGAATCCCCATTAAGTAAATATTGAGAAATATGTAGACACAGATAGACCAAATCCTTTTGCATTAGACACATTTAATTAATGTCGATTCTCGAAAAAAAGAGACATAAAATGAAAATCTTTTTAAATATTTTATTAAAGGATTTTCGGTTTTTACTTAGAGACATCAACAAACAGCTCTCTCCCATCTACCCATGGCACTTCAATATCCTTAAGTTTTATGTAATCATCGTTCAAAGTTGTTCTATAGATAAGCAAATAAGTAAGTAAGTATAAAATATATAAAATCAAATGGTCAAAGAAGATGGAAATGGTCAAGGGTTGAGCACTTTATGGTTAAGTGGTTAAGCTTTAGAACTGCTTCTATTTGATCAAAGGGAGTCCAAAACTGATCGATTCCTAAACAATGTTGTTACAGCAGTTTGAAAAAGCTGAGGACCTCAGCCTAAGATTTGTCCAACCTTAAATCTTTCTTTTCCCTCTTCTCCTTCTTATTTCCAAATAACCTCGAATTCCAATTTAAAAAGTGTCCATCCCTTTTCCCAAAAAATGTCCAGTAATTGATATCTTGTGTGTTTCCTTTGGCAAATAATCCACACAGCTTCTTGTTCTTTTAATTTTCTTTGCTCTCATTTTTGCACTTTATGGACATGAAAATATGTAATAGGAAGCAGGCCAGAAGCAAGAAAGGATTAAATGGACATGTGTGTATACAAAACTTTGAGAGAAGTTGTATAAAGACATTAATTTTGTATAAAAGGAAAAGATATAAAATAAAGTTAAGAGGAATCAGTTCCAAATGGAATAAGTTTTTTTTGAGTTTTTAATGACATTTATTACAAAATTTTCTTAGCCGTTGAAAATTCAAAATTCCAAAATGGTGGAAATGTCACTTCAAAAGTTTGGAACTGAATTTTACTGTCATTTTGCGTTCATTTGTGATAATTTTCATGCAAATGATACTATTAAGAGTGAGCAAGCAATATTTTATTGATTCTGTTTAAATTGGTTTAGTACTTGTCGCTCAAATCAAACTTTGTGTTTTTCAAAATGGTAAACTTCTTTCAGAAAATTTCGAATTTCCATAATCCAACTTTATTCA